ACCAGATGAATAGTGTACACTAGGAAGGCCCCCAAAGCCCAGAGAATGAACTGCCGCCACCCATAAGCCTTAAAGGGATATCGATAGTTTGGTAAACACCCTGCATGGAAGATCGCCACTGTATGTAGAGCTTAGTGTAGCGATGAATAAAAGTTGTGCTGTTATATCCGGACAACACAAAATCTGCGCTGAAGTTGTGGCTCATTGGTCGTATGGATATAATTGCCAGTAATAAGTAGCACACTGCCCTTTTTGCTGTCCGTCGTGAACACGTAGCCAACCCCAGGTGCGGAAAAAGAAATACCCATGGGCATCACGGGCATCTTTCCCACTTTGCCTGGGGTGCAAATTACCACGTTTCGCAGAATGATGCCATTCCTCCCATCATCTCAACTGTGACTGGCTCTTGCGAGGCAAGCGTTGCAATGAGCTCTAGACCCCACCCCGCCGTCGCATGGCAGCCCAGGATGCTGGTCGCCGGCATGTCATGGATGCCTGGGTTTCTGCCGCAAACCACTCCAGGGTGCTCGCGACGCGCTGCTGAATATGGGTAGCGTTGAGAGCGGTTCATGCCTGGGTTGGTAAGGATTCGGCAACTGATCCGAGCAGGCTCTTGTTCTTCCTGGGCATCGAGGGGGGCAAACGCAATTTGGGAAGGGAGTAGCAGTCCGGCAGCTCCCGGATCTGCGGGCTACATATAACCTTTGGCTCATCGCGTTGTTGATGTTGTGAGCTTCCCTCTCTTTACCCAGTATCCTTGGATCACGTTCGGCAGGCCCTTCATTTCTCCCGTCGGAAACAGCCATGGTTGCTGTCTCTCTCTCGCGCGCCCTGCTCCTTGCGGGTGCGTTTGCTCGTCTCGGTTTGGCCCAAACTGAGCCGCCAACCATTCTTGCCGAAGACGGGGCCGTCTTGCGTATGTATATCCAGTACTTTCCAGTACTTATTTCCCATTGATGATGCCAGAACCACGTGGAAGCTGACCGAATTCCCCTGTAGCTGCCGATGAGACCACCGTTGCGCCGGCTGCCGAGCCCGAGGTTGTCGAGGGTGCCGGTGAAGAGGTCCTGCTGTTGACCGACGCCGTCATGGCCAACCTCACATCTCTCGCCCTCAGTGGCATTGATCTCTTCGCCTTCGACGAGGACGCCACGGGTGTGACCCAGAGAAGCGCAAATGGGTTCCAGGTGGGAGACTGCAAGGTGTTCCCTGGTGACCGTGCCTGGCCTTCCCGTCTGGGCTGGACCGTCTTCAACCTCTTGACCGGTGGTGCTCTTATCGAGACTGTTCCTATCGGTGCCGTCTGCTACCCCAACAGCGGCGTGTACGATGCTGCCAAGTGCCAACATGTGCTTGCCAACTGGGCTCAGTCCTCTCTTCAGTATGTTTGTTTGTCTCTGAACACTGCTTCAACATGAACACTAACAGTCGTACAGCGCGAGTGACCCTACCTCGGTCATGTCTCCCCTCTACCAGGGTGAGACCTGCATGCCTCAGAACGGCAACACTGGCACCTGTGAGATGGGCAGCTTCCCCTCCTACTCGGTGAAGATTAGCAACGTCTACCAGGTTCAGCTGGCCGTCAACTTTGCCCGCAACCAGAACCTCCGCCTTGTCGTCCACAACACTGGCCACGATTTCCTTGGCAAGTCGACTGGTGCTGGTGCTCTCTCCATCTGGACCCACAACCTCAAGGACATCAAGCACATCAAGTCCTTCCGCAGCCCTTCCTACGACGGCCCTGCCCTCAAGCTCGGTGCCGGTGTCCAGGTTGGTGAGCTCTATGCCGCTGCCAACAGCCTCGGTGTCACTGCTGTCGGTGGTGAGTGCGCCGGTGTTGGTGTTGCTGGTGGTTACCTTGCTGGTGGTGGTCACTCTCCCATGAGCAGCAAGTACGGTCTTGGATCCGATCAGGTTCTCAGCATCGATGTCGTCCTCCCCAACGGCCGCTTCGTTACTGCTACCGAGACCAAGAACACCGACCTTTTCTGGGCTCTCCGCGGCGGCGGTGGTGGCACTTTTGGTGTCGTTACTTCCATCACTGTCAAAGTGTACCCCAAGCAGAAGCTTGCCGGTTTCTCCATGACCGTCAACGCTGGCCCGGAGTCCGAGAACACCATCGCTGTCTTCTGGCAGGCCATGTATGCCTACTGGCGCAGGTTCCCCGGCTATGCCGGCCTTGGTGTGTACGGCTACTCGACCGTCTTCCCCCTGTTCACCGCTGCTGGCGGCTACAGCTGGACTTTCCACCCCTTCATGTTCCCCGACATGACCTTGGCCCAGTTCAAGGCGCAGGTTAAGCCTCTCTTCGACGAGTGGACCGCCCTTGGCCTCAACTTCACTCCCAACTTCTTCGAGAAGGACAACCTGTACGATGTCTGGACCCAGCACTTCCCTGTCGAGTCCGTGGCCAACAGCAACATACGTACTGCTTCCCGCTTGTTCCCCGCCAGCGCTTGGCAGAACAACGCCACCCGCGACGCCATGTTCGACGAGGTGCGCGCCATTGTCGAGGAGGGCTCCGCGCTCATCCAGTACAACATGAACCCCCGCCAGACCCAGGGCACTCCCAACTCTGCCGCCAACTCCCACTGGCGCGATGCCGTCTGGTTTGCCATCATGGGTGCCGGCTGGGCTCCTGGCATTCCCGAGACTGAGCTTGCCGCCACCAACAACAAGATCACCCACAACTGGATGGAGCGTCTTCGTGCCTTTGGCCCCGGTGGGTACGGCAACGAGGGCGATGTCATGGAGCCCAATTTCGGTGAGGCTTTCTTCGGCAACAACTACCAGCGCCTGCTGAGCATCAAGCGTGAGGTCGACCCCAACGATCTCTTCTGGGCTCCCACCGCTGTCGGCGCCGAGAGATGGACCATCCAGGGCCAGCCCGACTGGTTGTTGACCCAGGTCGGCAAGCTCTGCAAGATCTCCAACTAAAGTTGATCTTTCTGGTTGGGGATGGATCGCGGTGATGGAGTCTGGTGGTAGTTCTTTCTGTAAATAAATTAATTTAAACTTGTAATTTTCTGGCCGCAAAGAAGTGGCTTGTTGATATCATGAGTCCCCCCCTCGTTTGAAGTGAAACGGTGAAAGATTGAATTGAGTTTGCCTGCACAAGGGACCGAGGTGGGGGGGGATGGAAGCCTAAATCTGAATCAGTGCTCACCCTTTCTCGCAGTTGCTCCCGTCATTGTTTACACCGCGGGCATCGACAGCTCTGACGCTTTCCATTTTCCTTTGGCGAGAATGGAAAGGTCCACATGCTGCTCCCCTCGGTGCCCATCCCCTACCGTGAGCTCAGTCGCCCTCAACCACGCGACATGATGGGTCACCATCTCAAGCGACTTCACGAGGACGAAGACGGCGACACTCACACCCCAATCCCACGAACACCACACAAGAGCGCAATGAAGCGGCAGCGTACCGACACCGAGCTCTCAGCTCCTCTCCCCGCCCCGAACTTCTCGTCTCCCTTGACCCTAATCCCAACCACTGCCATCACACCGAAGCGACTCAAAACCATCAACATCACGAAGCAAAAGTCAGCAGCAAAACTCACACCTTCTGCCATCATGGGTCTCCCCACCGTCGCCTCCCAGCTCCCCATCCAAGACTGCCGCACCATTCTCGGCACCATCCTCTCGGACCGCGAAGTGCGCATGCTCATGTCCCACCTCGTCAGCGGCACCTCTGGAAAACCCCGTCGAAAAACAGCGACATACCTCTCCACCCGCTTCGACGAGCTCAACACCCCCCAGCCCGACCAAACAGTCGCTTTTGATGAAATAGTCTTCGCTGTCAAATCCGCTTTTCGCCCGCTGTCCCTCGACACAATATCACCCGCGGAGCTCGAAGCAATCATGACCACCCACGGAGTCCAGAGCAACATCAGGTGCATCCACGCCGCCGCCGTCTGGCCTGCCAGTCTCGGGACGCGGCTCAATGCGCTCAAGGCGGTACTGGAGATCAACCAGCACCTGATCCGGAGCAGTCTTTTAAGGGAACTGCGGCATCAAAAGGTGTTTGAGAAGGAGTGTCCCACTCTTGGCACTGCTGTGCTGCACATCTGCCAGGGCTTGACAGGGCCGGAAAGGGTGGTCGCGCTGGGGATGCACTTCCCGAGGTACTCATCCTCTTCTTCGTCCTCTTCCCATCGGGGAGGTCAAGCAATGACCAGCTCGGCTGTTGTTGTCGCGCATCATCACGGGAGCAGTCAAAGCAATGGGCACAGCAGCAGTCAGCATTCACATTCTCAAGGGGGTTCAACCATGTCTAGGGGGGTCGTGGAGGATACGCTGGAGGTGGAGCTGAGGGCACAATCAGAGTTTTTTCGCAAGCAAAACATGTTTCCGGAGGTGGTCGAGGCTTATCAGATGCTGGTCGGGAGCAAGAGGGCGGCGGGGACGGCAGTGCAGGCTGTGCCAATTGGGGTGGGGGCGATTGAGCAGGAGAGTGAAGAGGACGAGGAGGAGAGTGAAGAGGACGAGGATGAAGAGGTGGAGGAGGGAGCTGATGGGGAGATTCCAGATACGCAGGAAACTGGGTGATGTCATGGCGGTAACTGGCTTGGTTGTTTCATGTCACGGTGTGGGAGTACTGGGAGTTCGGACGAAAATGTCAGGATATTGGGCAGGGAAAAAGGGCAACTATCGGCATACCTAAGGTAGAAGGGTGTTCATAGTAATTTTGCCCTTCTGCTGTTAACAGCATTTTTGCTGGAGAAAATGGGTGTCATGGTTGCAATATGAACACACAGCAACAACAAAGAAGGCAACTCTACCACAATATCCCGGTGCACACCAGCTTCGAGCCTGGGGTTCAAGATTGGAGATAAATGCATTCTCAGCATCAATGTCACTCACATTTCTTATATCAACGAATCACCTCCTCCATCTGCTTATTTGACATTGACATCGTTGCAATGATGGGATGTGCACCACATGATGTGCACGGGACCTCAAAAGTAGATCCGTCGGCATCAATGATCAGATTTAACAGACGGTTGTATAGTGTAGCGGTTATCACTCCGGATTCTGATCACACCAGAAAATTCCGGCAACCCCGGTTCGATTCCGGGTACGACCTTCAATTTTTCCATCTTTTTTTCCACCCACGATCTTGTTTGTGGGTGGAGTTTTATTTTTGCCATCCCTTTGCCGAAAATGTCTTATCTTATCAAAAAGATCGCCATCATCTCATGATCACAAATGACCACCCAAAAATGGTCGAGGTTCGGCCCGCGCCCTTGCAGATCTCCGGGCTTCCCCCACAACCCCATCGGACGTCATCAAGTTCTTCAGATTCATGATCTGATTTTCACCCCCTCGAACCTCAGCCGATGTCCCTTTTGGGGCCAAACCTTATCTCCAGATTCCCAATCCGCCGGGTCAACGGTGACGCTTACCGAAACTGCTCAATGATATCAGGATGATAAGAGGTTGATGAATTTGAAGAGTGAACTTTGGCAGAACGAGATTTTGATGTTGAGGTTCAATCGCAGTGAACAACAACGCCCTCACCGCCATGGCTCCCTCAGATGGGGACGGCCCATCATGGACCACCAAATTAAAAGAGTACTTCTTCGCCTCTACCCACCACCACCACCACCTCCCCGGCGAGGGGAAGCTCGTTCGCAAGATTGACTTTTTCATCCTAACTTTTTGTTGTCTGAGCTATTTCCTCAATTACGTCAGTTGCCCACCTCTCTGATCTTCATGGGAAAACATAAACTGAACTTTCTGTCAGCTCGACCGAACAAACCTCTCCAACGCCTACGTCTCGGGCATGAAAGAAGACCTCCACTTCCGCGGCGACCAGCTCAACCAGATCAACACGTGCTTTACCATCGGCTACGTCCTCGGCCAGATCCCGTCCAACCTTTCCTTGCATTACATCAAACCCCGCGTTTTTTTCCCGTCCATGATGGTGATCTGGGCTGGGCTGACCATGATCACCGCCTCGGTCAGCCGGCCGCAGCACATCATGGCCATCCGGTTCTTCCAAGGCATCGCCGAGTCGACAACGTTTGTCGGCACGCACTACATCCTCGGGTCGTGGTACACCAAGCGGGAACTTGGCAAAAGAAGTGGGATCTTCACCGCTTCGGGCCTGGCCGGGACGATGATTGGGGGTTTCATTCAGAGCGGGATATACAGCAGCATGGATGGGAAGCACGGGCTGAGGGGGTGGAGGTGGTTGTTTATTATCGACGGGATTATTACCCTGCCGGTGGCGGCGTATGGGTGGTTGGTGTTTCCTGATACACCAGGGGAAACAAGAGTCTGGTATTTGACACCGCAGGAAAGAGAGATGGCCGTGGAGAGGGTTAGGCTGCCGGAGAAGGAGCAACAACAACAAAACGAGGACGAAAAGAAAATATCGCCGTTGTCGTGGGGGTTTGTCAAGAAGGTACTGGGATCGTGGGAGTGGTGGGGGTTTGTGATATTATGGGTTATCGCGGGGGAGGCGGAGTCGTTTTCGACGAATACGCTGCTGGCCCTGTTTCTCAAGTCGCACCCGACAAATGAGTACTCGGTGCAGCAGTTGAACGACTACCCCACTGGGGTTCCTGCTGTGGGCATTGTCTCGACGTTATTCTTTGCGACGTTGACGGATTTTCTGGGTGGGAAGAGGTGGATAGTTGGATACTTCATCGGGATCACGGGGATCTGCACCAGCGTGATGATCTTGGCTGCGCAGTATGGTTTGGTGCAAGAGGGGAGGGAGACAGCCGTGGTAATGGGGGCATACTATTGGGCTGGCACGGTGTACGCGTGCCAGGCAACCTTTTTTGCGTGGGCAAATGATGCAATGAGGTGGAGAGAGCCTGTATTCAGGAGTGTGGTGCTGGCGGGGATGAATCTGGGGAGCAATGCGGTAAATGCATGGTGGAGCATCGTGTTTTACGGGGCGAGTATGGCTCCTTGGTTTACGGTGAGTCTTACGTTACTCTCCATGTGACAGGAACTACCATACTGACCGAGTTCCACAGAGGGGAATGTACGCCATGATTGCCACTTCGGTGGCTCTGGCGGTCTGGACAGCAGGTCTGTCTTTTATGACGAGACGACAAAAACAAAATATCACAAGGGTGACTGACGCGGAAGACGGGAGCTCGCCAGAGGGGTCATCGAGAAGCGAAACGGGCGAGAAGGGGACTGGGAGCGAACTAAATGCCTGAGAAACTGAATGACAATCTGAGACCACAGAAAACTGACTGCCTATGTGATACCTATTCCGCCTTCGCAAAACGGGAAATGCCTGTCAACCCTCCACCTGAACATACCTTAGAGCAGAAACCGATCTAGCGCTTCTTCGCTGCCCCCCAAAAGTCCCATCCACCCTGCGGAAACCCACGCTCAATTTCGGCAATGAGCTGAGCATTCCCAGACACCTCACTAGCTGGCTCGGATCCAGTACCAACGACGGCTTTTGCCTTCTTTTTCGTGAACTTCGTGGAAGGAAAGCCCCAGGAGTTATCCTCAACGGAGGGTTTTGGCTTCGGCGCTGGCTCCGGTTCTACCAGCGGCACCGGCTCGATCTCCAATAGTGGAGACTCAGCCTCGAGGCGAACCACTCCCTTCTTCTTTGCCTTCTTCGCCTCCTTCTTTTTGTCATTGCTGGCCATATCAAACGAGTCTCGGGGAACATCTTCGACCAGAGGTTGTGGTTCGGGCACTAGCTCAGGCACTGGCTCCTGGTTTGTCACCGACTCCGGCACCGGGTCGACAATGACTACTCCAATATTCTCAAGGTTTCTCTCGCTGTTCTTGCTACTTGTGCCAGCGAAGTCCCAGCTATCATCCTCAACGAGGGCTGGAGTGGGGTCGGCCAAGGGAGCAACCTCGGGCACAGCATCGGGAAGTGCTTCTTCGACCACAGGGTCGGAGATGACGTGGTGACTCTCGTCTCGGCACTTTCTCTTGCACATGGAGCATTTACATGACACGCATGTAGGTCTCGTGCACTTTCCACACGCCTTGCACTCCCATCGCGCTTTGGTCACTTTGTGCTTACACTTCTTCACCTTGGTGCCAGTTGCGGTGGCGGCGCCGCTGTTACTATTGTTATCCGAGGCCTGCAGCTCTGGTTCGAACTGGAGGTCGGGAACAACCTCAAGCGGTGTCGGTTCCTCAGCTGCAGACTCAGTAACAGAGTCCAGAGTGGCCGGCTGGACAAGATCGAGTTTCAGGGTGTCGCTGCTGCTCTCCCCCGAAGCCTCCGGTGCAAGCTCATATACGGATTTGTCAAGGTGGGGCTTTGGGTCCTGAGCCAGAGTCTCGACGACGTTGAGTGTGGGCGGCACAGTGCACGGTGTGGTGGCTGGAGCTGGAGTTTGACTGTCGTCCTTGTTGCTGATGACTGTCTGCTCTTCAGCGGCAGCGCCGAGCAGTTGGCAGTCCACCTCTTCGAAAGAAGTGTCGCTTGTTGGCGTGAAAGGCCGACGAAGGGTAGCAGCTTGTTTGGCGAGAGCTTCGGTCTTCTCGCGATAAGCTTCGAGCATGCCCTTAAAAACCAACTTGATGATGGAAGTTTCATCGGCAAAATTGGTATCAAGCCTGGCCGACAGAACTGAATCCGGCTTGTCGAAATCGGCCTTGATGCGAGATTTGATGTGCTCCTGAAACCAGGTGTCGCTGCTGTCCGGTACTGGGTAGACCCTTTTGGCGATATCGATGACGGTGAAGGTGTCCAACCTGGCTGCATCCTGCTCAATGTGGATCTGGGCGAGAGCCTCCAAGCTGCAGAGCTCGTATTTCCTGGCAGCTAAGTAGACCTCGAACGCTGTCTCCAATCTGGCGATCTCCTCAAGACCGCCCTCGGGCCCAAACCATGCCAATTCGGTCCAGCGGCCGGTGTAAAGATGTGCTACCAGAATCTGGCCAGCAGCGTACGAGACGTCTGAAAGGTTGATCGTTTCGGGGAAGGAATCGTGGCGAGTGATGAGTGAGACCAGCCTGGGGCTTTGGATGAGAAACTCTCGATGCGCAGTCAGACAAATGCCATTTCGAAACTTGAGGCTGGTGAGGGGACTGCTGAAAGGTCTGGTACGTGTTAGAGCTGGATCGTACTTTGAAGAAGGCAAAGGAGAGAAACATACGAGAACGAATAGTTGTCTGACACCACAGCTTCGTTGTAACTCGTGCTATGAAGATAGCGCTTTTCCACTGTAGAGGTCGACATGATGGTGGTGTTGAAGATGGTGTCGAGGCTGGCAAGGCCTTCAACAATACAGAAAGGGCCGTGGCTCTGCGGTGGAGCTGTTCATCAAGCTTGAAAACGGGGCGATGCACTGGGATGCGTAAGGAAATAACTGAGACGGAGACGAGAGCAGGTGAGTTGTAGCAACAGTTGTTTTTGGGTCTGTCTTGGGCTATCAAAGACGTTCCACGGACTGCAGCTATGTCTGACAAGCCATTCTTATCAACGTTCGATACCGTGCAGGTTCAAATCCGTTCACCAAGCTTGAGTGAAGGCGTTGTTCGGCATTGACGAGCCGATTCGGCCAGCTTGCATACCCATCGCCTCCCGTCTGCTGCCCAACTCATGTTAGGCTTGGCAGGTACCGTCAAAATGGTCGCCACGACGCTCCATAACGTGGCTTTTCTGATCCAATCACAGAGTATTCTCAGTACCCGACCAGTCAGGTTTTGCGTCGTGGCAGATGTGCAAGGCGTGCAAGGCGTTTGGAAACAAACATATGGCAAATGCGACCAAGCCTTGAGACATGGACAGTTCAAACCAAGTTTGTTATGGCCAGTCGTTTGTGTCGTTCGTGTTCGAGTCCGGACCCATTGCTCCCCTTGCCATGCAATTACTGCTCACTAGGCTCGACATCATATTCCACCTCTGTCCGAATCACGTACTTGGCCCCCTTCCTCACTCCGGTACCCTCATGCAGCAGTGCTCCTCTGGTATCTCCATGGGGAAACAATGCTACATTCCCCATCACTGGCCGAATGGGATAGGCATTGAGCACGCCCTCCCGCGCGGCCGACACAAAGTATGTGGTTTCTCCGCCCTCGAACTCATCATTCAGGTATATCAAGAAGGTAAACAGGGAGCTTTGCTTCTTCTCGGCGGGC